ACCCCAAAAGTCTCGGATGTTTGCAAAGTGACTGGATCATGGGGATGTTATATTCACCAGTGGATTCATCCATTGGTGAGTTCAGTAGCTTAATATGCTGTTAGGAGGTGGGGCCAGTTGGAGGTGGGTGACTGGGGCTGTGATCTGGAAGGGTGTTATCCCTATCTCTCTCTGTGCACTTTTGGGCTGCCATGTGGTGAGCACTTTTCCTCCACCATGCCTTCCTGTCTGTCCCTTCTGCCTTAGAGACAACCAACCATGAACTGAATCCTCCAAAAACCATAAGTCAAAATAAACTTCTCCTCCTTTAAATTGTGGTGTCAGGTATTTTGTCCTAGTGACAGAAAAGTGACAAATAACAGTTATCTGTTAGGGATATCATTATTTTGCTGGTACCATGAACAGATATTTTATGGAGGAGGTTTAGGACACATGTACCACTGTGGCTATATTTCTGAAGGAATGAAATAGCTGTTCAGGAACAGCTGAAAAGCCTAAGGAACACTTCAAGATCCATCTTGAAAAGCACATGGGCTTTATGGTAAAATACTGAGTTTTTCCAACTTCAGCATTTTGACTCTGAAAAACGTGTTCAGTGGGATAGTCTCAAAGCATAAGGTACATTGCCACATGGTTCCTTTTTTCTTTGTACTCAACCATTGACGTACATATGCCTCACTTTATGAAAATGCGATTTATACTTACTCATTTTTGATATAGAAAGAATATGATCTTGAAAGTGAACAGAGAGATGGATTAGTGTTGTTTTCCCACTTAATTTATAAGGAACAGGAAATTTAGAGAGCTTAAGTGACTTCCTTGGTTAATATTGTCAACACATCAACATTTCTATAAATAATTAAAAACAGACAAAGATCATAAAGGGCAAATGGAAAATAAATATGAACAGCAAGTTACAGATGAAATCAGAGTGGCCAATGAACATGTACAAAACTCTCAAGCTCAGAATAAAAATGTAAATAAATCCATGCTATTCTTAATTTTGCTTAACAAATGACTCCCTAACAAAGCAACAAATATAAAACAATGCAAAGATCACACAGTGAGAAACACTGAGGCAATAGCTGAAATCTCTGAGTATCCCTGCAGACATCCCTGCCTGGTTCACACAATGATAATGCCTTGATAAAGAGAAAAGAACAATAGCCCAATAGCAAAGTTAAATGAACAGCAAATCATGAGGGAGAAATGCAAGTTAGATCACTGAACGAGGAGTATTTTATTTACAACGAAGGGATCCTGATAGCATGGCTTTAAATTACTGGGAGCCTAGTTTCAATGAACACATCAAATACTTTACTAACTTTATGTCATATTTTAATTTTATAAAGCTAGGTTCCATGTGAATATAACATCTTTGCTTCTGCCTCTTTGGCCATTGTTAATGGACTATGAATTCTTAGTTTCCCTTTTCAAATAAGATCAAAAGCCTCTAACTTTGGTATTAAAAATTTTAGGTATTCATATCTTAGAATAAATTCCCTTGTGCTGTGAATCATGGTCCTATTCCAAATACAGCTTATTATAGTGTCGTAAATGTCAGATTTCCCTTCAGATTTCCTAGGAAGTGGTGCCTAATTCCACACTACTAAAATATCATCGTTATTTTCTTATCGTCTGCTTTAAGAATCAGTATTTTTCAATGAATAATTTCATACAATCCTAATTTCAAATTAGATGGGGTAAAGCAGTGAGAGAAGTTTAGCCAAACCTGATTCCATTGTAGGTGATATGGAAAAATCCTAGAAAATAAACAGGTTTCCATTTGAATAAATCAAAATACATAAATTTAAGAAGTATTGTAGCCAAGAGAGCTATATATGAAAATGATGCCTCCTTTATCTGAAAATGTTGGTTTGCTTATTTTTAGGAAAACAGATTCAATGTTCTTAACTCTTGCTCATTTAAAAGATGCTTTTCTTTTCATATGGTTGATTGATCTCCTGTATTACACAATAGTAATGGTACCTATTATACTTTTCAAACAAAAACCATGCATATTTGGCTTTAAAATTGTGCTCCTAGAACAAGCATTTGGTTCCAATGGCTTACAACTTTGTTGTGGTCTCTCTTTAGGTTTCTTAAAATAAACATGCAGCCGGAGCTCAAAATGAATGAGAAAGAAAGAACACTGCTTTATATCACATACAAACAAGGGTAACTAAAGGAATGATTTTATTCTCTGAACCCATTAACATACACTGAGCATATATGTGTATGGAGTAAATTTCTCTTGAACATAGGACTAGGATTAATTTCTACACTATGAAAAAAATGCTGGAAGTAAAAATTCCTACAAGGAGTTCTTACTAGGCAGCTGGGGTTCCAGGTCACCCAGGAAGGAAACACCTATCTCCACAGGTGGGCTAAAAAGCTGGCTTAATCTACAATTGTCCAGAAATGAACCTAATTCAGCCTCGAGCTGATTCAGCTTTGGGGGTTCTGCTCAATACTGAGATGGCCTGGAGCTAGAAGGAACCTCCAGGGGTATCCAGTCTTCTAGAACAAGTGCCTGTGAACCACAGGCCACTGCTTGCTTACCTGCTGCCCGTTTTGTAAATACAGTTTTACGAAAACAAAGCCAAGCCCATTTGTTCACATACAGCCTATGGATTTTTAAGTTGCAACAGCAGAATTGAGTAGGTGTAACAGACAACTCATGGGTTATGAAGCCAGAAAGAGGTATTCACTGGTCCTCTACAGTCAATAAAAAATTGCTAACCCCTGATCTGAAGGGACCTGGGATGGATGGTCATTACTGTACTGTATTCAGAACCACCCTCCCCAGCAAGCAAACGTCATTTTATTACCTTGTTTTATACCAGAGTTTGCCATTTCTGTAGGTCTCAGGAGGTTATGTTCTGGAAGTCTGTATTTTTGGAAGCATTTTCAGGTGGACCGATTATTACAGAGTACCTGTATAGTGCCACCCTTGTGTAGCACTTGATCTTACCCTGTCCTTTTCTAAGAGGGGGGCACTTTCCCTTGATTTTGCAGTATCACTACTTGCTCACACATATGTGAATCTTCAAACTAAAGCTGTCACTCTTTTTGAGAGGGATTCCTATTCAAAATCAGCATAAACATGGAGGCTATTGCCAAAGTTGAGTTGAATCAATTTTCCACTGACTAAGCAGGTTTATGACATAGAAGATTTCAGTGGGGAAGGGTTGATCTTGTTAATGGAATAAAAATAGGAGTGGGTAGGTTTTGGTATTTGCTAATGTGCAATACAATGAGGAAAAGATGAGATGTAATTCTGAGGTCCTCATGTCTTACAGATTTGGGTCATTCTGGTTATCCAAGGTACTCTATCTTTTTGGTACATCAGGAGCTCAGGTGTAGGTGGGTAGAAAGGTAGGGCAACAATGCTGGGAGAGATGTTTATGGTTATTGGGAGTCTTCCAAACTTTCAGAAACCAGAGCAACAAATTTTGCTTGCTTTTAGTTTTTCAAGTCTGCTAGAGAATGGGCTTTTAGAGAAACTGTCTTGCACATTTGGCTCATCCCAGACAGTAAATATATCATCAAAAGGCAGGGTGCATCCATGACATGCAGGGGTTTATGGGTATTTCCTGTGCTGCCATGGTAACCAAAAGTATAGTCATGGGCTTGGTGCTAGACTGGTAGATGTACAGCAGGGGTAAAAAACTGACAGGTGGGTTAAGTCCAGTCAGCAAGCATAATTAGACTGGCTCATGAGCCTTATATTTTTTTCTTTTCCCAGTTTTGAATTTCTGTTAGTTCATTTGCATTACACAAAGACTACAGTTCTCATGGGGAGCCATGTACACAACATCTCAATTCTTTGTTACATTTCTTTCCCTCCCCTCCATGCTCCCTTCTTCCATCTCTTGGTCTCCTTCTCATTTGAACAAAATCTATTTCCCTACTTCCCATTATCTATTTTTACTCAACTTTTGTATCTGCTTTACTTCATTTGACATTATGGTCTCAAGAAGCATGAGTTTTCCTACAGATGACTCAAGTTTCTGCTTCTTTAGGGCAGAGTAGTACTTTATTGTGTATGAATACATTTTCTTCATCCAAATTAACCACCAACATTTAAAAGTTGAGGTATTTCATTTAAAATTTGGATTTATAACCTCCTGAAAACTCAAAGTCTGTAAACACAGATGGCTTCTGTCTGTCAGTGATTGCCTAGAATAGAGGATGCCTTCTTTTCAGAGGGAAACTGAGTTCTCCAGTTTGTTTTTATCCACACTCAAACATTTTATTCATTGGTGTTATCTACTTGATCCCTAGGGCTTTGCAGTGTGCAACCCCTGCTCTAAGTGCTGTGCTAAGAATTTTTGCAATTGCAACCTTACATTCCTTTTTTTGTTTTTGAGTCAGCATGTCACCATGGCATCTAAGCTGGCCTTGAACTTGCCATATAGTCCACATTGGTCCTAAACTTGAGATCCTCCTTTCTCAGCCTCCCAAGTGCTGGGATTACAGCCTATATCTCCATGTCTGACTGCAAATTTATATTCTTCCAAAGTCATTCTATCTCTCCTTTGCTCCTTGTTAAGAGTTTTATAGCTCATATGTGCTATAGGTGACCCATTCATGTTCTGTTCTGATTCTACTGCTCAGAGGAAGAAACAGCCCTCTTTGGGTAGACTCCATGGTCAGTCACCAATGACAGGGAGCCATTTACTACAAGGATCTGAATTACTAAAAAGAGGAAGCATATTCAGAGTGCATGGGTGATCTTGGGATGGCTAAAAACTATTCTTTTGCTGAGTTATCATTTCCTCTCCATCACGTCTCTGGTGGTGATATATCTCATAATTCTTGAAGAAGATGAAGGATATTTTGTAGGGATATATTCATAGGGGCTAACAACACTTGTTGATTTGGAAATAACTGCTTCTTAGACTCAGCTGACTCTTTAAGAACCCTATACTATACTTTACTTTAGGTGGTACAAAAATGGAGACACACAAAGAAAATTAAGAAAAAATATTAGATACCTGTCATACTGTTGGGAGTCATAGGTTAGTAATCATTCTGGATCCTTTTTTTCACTGACATCTCCTACAAAGAGAAAATACAAGAAAAAATAATATGGATTATGATCTGCTTTTCTGTAATGTTTTTGTTCCAAATAATATTACGTGGATTAATTAGCTTGAGGTAAAATTTGCTACTCTCAACTCAGATGTGGGGAAACAAGTATACGTGGGCTATGTGACATGAGTTGGTTCCAAAGACCTCTTAATTTTCATTTCTGGGTTCCTTCTATAAACATGTTTTTAAAGTAATGTTTTTCTCAAAGTCACATTTTTTTCCACCTCAGCTTTTTAAGAAAAAAAATTGCTGTTTTCCCCAAGACTGGCTAAGATGTATCAGCATCTTCAGCCTAGATCTTTGCTTCTCAAAGTGTGGTTTTCAGACTGGCAGTAACAGCATCAGCAGACAGCTTATTAGAAACAGAAAATTTGGATCTTACTTAAATCAGACTGTGCATTGAAAAAGATACAGGTAATGCATGTGCAATTGAAAGTCTTAGACGCCCTGCTATAGACTGAATCCCTCATCTGCTCATTTATGGCTCTTCTGCAGCCAGTGCCAACTTCCTCCTCTTAACATTAACAAGAAGGAGGCCCATGGGTATCATTGAGCAGTGGCACACTGGCTAAGAAGGCATAAAAATGGGCACAGGTAGCTGATGAACACAGGTCTGAGTCCTTCAGCATATCGCTGGGGACAGACAAGGATTAGGTCCCTTTTTCTGGAGGGTATTCTATGTCCAGTGGAAGACAGTGGCGGCATATTGGCTTTGGAACAGCACTGGAGCCTAACACACAGGTTTGAAGGTCAATGGCATCACATACTGGGTACGGGATCATGACAAGTAATTTCAAAGTGCTGGAATCACCATTTCTTTAGGATAAAACAAGGAAACTAATGTTCATATTTCACTAGGCTGGTATTTCTAAGGTTTAAAGAGGATGTGAGTGATAGTGATGGGAAAACTATGATGTACCATGCACATGAATGCCATTGGATCCGGAGGAACCATATTAACATTGAAGATGAGGAAGCGCATGGGAGAGGAAGCATGTGAATTATGGTCGCCAGATAGATTTATATTTCATCCTGACTCTACATCTCATACCACACAATGAACTCATACCAGATCATAGTTCTTGTCACACCCAGTGGAAATTATAGGTTACATGGCTGCCTTTCCCACTAGACTGGAATCTATCTATGGCAGGGCCTGTTCTTCTCATTTTTGTATCTTTCACATGAAGGAGATTGTCAGATACACAATAGGTACTCAACAAATGTATGTTGAATAACTGAGTAAAATAAAAAAATAAGATAATATGGCACAATGGAAGCCACTTGAATTGGCAGCTGATAGAAAAGATGAATAATAACTACTTGGAAAATAGGTTCTTGCTACTAGTCAGCTTGCCTAGGGTCACAACAGCCACATCCTGCTGTGTACCCTCAGTCCACTGTACAGTTGTGTACTAACCAGGTTCAGAGATATCCTACAGTGAGCACACAGGCCACATCTATAGCACTGAATGTCTGGCCTGTGTTCTCTTGTTTAAAACTATCAGGCCATGACCCTCCCTCTCCCAACCCACGGGAGTGGCCATATTGGATACGAGATTCTGAAGGTGCTGGCGAAGAGGAGGAGCTTGGTTCAAGCTAGGCCAACCACAGTGTCCCACACCTCTGGTCAAAATGGTCCAAGACCTGAGGTGAGCTAATAAGATGGCTCTTCAGGGTACTGAGAGAGAAAGGCAGAGAAGGCAGTATGGAGGGAGAAAAGGGATGCTATTATTTCTTATTCAGGGGAAGAATTCATCTGAAATTAAAACTCAAAGTGTTTGTGGCCTCACAGCCACCTGGAGAATGCCCATGTGAGTGAGGTAAGAGGACGAATCTGACATTCACAGAGACCCTGATGCAAAGAAGAAAGCTGTGGCCTCATGCCCCTGGTTCTGGTCCCCTTGAGAGCTAGGCCCCTCCTAGAGTGTGGCTACTCAACTCTTTCCTGTTACTCTGAACAAATGTTCCCATTTTACATAAGCTGCTTTAGGCTTAGTTTCTGTCACTTGTACCCAAGAATCATGACTGTAACACCTGGATTAAAATACAATATTAATGCAAATATATTACAATAGTTTTGCATCTTTTTATCATCTTAAAGTTATAACTCCAAAATCCAAGTTATGTCCTTGCTACACAATCAACTTAAAATATTATTTTCAAAATTGCAATTGAATATGTGTATGAACTATAGAAAAGTATTGTGTGAAAAACAGTATCTGAGAACAAAAAAATATTATTAATGTTTAAAATTAGTATCAGCCCCACAAACTTTATTATTAATTTTCTTTTAGTACTTTTTTTCTTCAACTATAGTATGACTTAGTGCTTTAGTGTTATGATATCACTGATGGTATAGTAATACTAGTATTGCTATAGTACTTTAGTAATATTTAGTATTATTTCCTCCTATAAGCTCGAGAGTTTGAAATATAATCCAAATAAAGCTTCTAATAACCCTCCAGGGGAGGCAGGTGTCCCAGGGCCTCATTTTCTGTCATCCTATAAGAAGACACTGTGGGTGCAGTAGAGTGCTCTGTAATGAGGAGGGGACCCAGAGCTAGTCCTCTCTAGGGCCATAGGCACGGGCCTGGGAGTCACCAGCAGTTCACGGGGTCAAAGGGGAAGAGAGCTGCAAAAAAGTCAAGCTGAGTGATTCTTTTGCCAGAAAGGAAGCAAGAGGAGCAAGGGGCTTTGTAAGTAGGGCATCAAGGAGGAAGAGTCAAGGTGCTGACTTGCTGGGAAGGGGAGGCTCTGCTGAGGGAAGACTGACAGCTAGAACTTGGTCTGGGAAGTGCTGAGTCAGGTCCAGTCCTCATATCATTCATTAAAACCAGTCCCATGGCTCACTGGCCAGGGTGGCATTTTCAATTAGGAGAGCATGACATTCTATTTAGACTCCTAGGCAGGTGCTCCAAAGTGGAGAAAACTCCTTTTTGTTTTACATTCATTCATTTGGTCAGCGGACAGACCTTGATGGAGGACTGCTCTGTCTAGGCAAAGGTCTAGCATTTGTTCCAAGACAACACTCAGCCTGCCCACAACGGGCTTCTGACCTAACAGAGGGAGATAATCTTGGTGCAAACTAAGTGCAAAAGGAAATACAGCTTCCGCCTCTCATAAGAGGTTTGGGAGAGAGAGAAAAGGGGTAGAACTTAGGTGGTGGCAGTGGAAGTGGTGACAAGATGAGGGACTTGAGCATTTAGAAGGTAGAAATGGCAGTGATGAATGTGATATGAGCATTTACCACTTGGATAACTCTGGGGATGCAGATAGCTTAAGATGGAAGCTCTGCCCTCAAGGAATTTATAATCCATTTTTTTCCCCATTACTGGGGATTGAACTTGCGCTTGCCAGGCAGGCGTGGCACCAGAGCTACATCCCTGGCCCTATAATCCATTTTAAAAGCTGGCTGGGCAGAAGCTGCTAAAAATACAAATCACAGATGGCATGGCCAAGGGAGCAGTGCTGAGACCCGTGCAGGCCAATGCCATATTCCTAGGTAAAACTCATTTCCCTTAGAAGAGTGGAGCGTGGGCACTTGCCCCTCCAACACATATATTTTTATATGTTTTCTAAAAATACAAAAGAGGATAAAGTTGTTATTGAGTCCTCTGAAACTGAAAAATAAGTGGAATTACTGCCATCATTTAGGAAATAAATGTCCAGAGACATTGGGAGACACTGGGCTCCATGTAAGCTATGGTGAGCTAGGGCTCCTGCTAGTAACTCAAAAGCTAATAATTTGCAGGACAGAAGTACAGCTTGTTGATAAGGGCCAGAGCACACCTGGGCAGATACATTCTGAGAGAGGCAGGTATTTCATGAAGGATTTCCTGGACGATGTCTAGGAAATGTTGGAGGAAACCTAGGGAATGTCATAAAAAGGTTTGATAGTGGTTTTCCTACATCTGAGAAGCTGAAATGTGGGAGAGGGATTAAGTGTATTCAGTGCACCAAGGATGTATGCTGCCAGAGTGCTGAGGGCGACTTTCACTGCTCCACCTGGCTTAGTAAGATACAACTTTCATAGATAGAGGTGGCCATACAGAGGATCATCCTCCCTGTATCTGGGGCTGATTTTTGTTCTCAGGGCACAGTAAGCCTCTGAGCAGACCAGCATCCTTATGCTGCAGAAAGTGGTGCCGTGCATGATATGGTTCCAGAGACCAGCCAATAACCAGGAGGGCCCTTCACACTCTCCTCTAAAGCTTCGTGTCTTAGCTTAGTGGATTTTGGTTACTCCGGGTGTGGTCTCCTCCAGGAATACAATGCAAATTCGGGCCCCTCCCCTTGAGAAATGAGCAAATGATTTGGCATACTTTTTCAGGGGTGCACAGACACGATACACCTACTCACAGATTCTAAATTAAGCTTTGGCTGCAGACTTTGATCACTACTAAAATGTAAAGTAGATAGTGGAAGAGAGATAAGTTGAATAGGCATAATTTAGTAAATGGAATGAAAAGGAGATATGAGAGCTACTTTTGGTCTGGGACAAAGAGAAGGTCCCTTTGTGAGTGGAAGAAAGACAGGACCCTAAAAAGCAAGCCTAGAAGCTGATAAGCCATCTTCCAACCCAGGAATTTGGTCTAGGCTGGTTCCATTTACTCCATCAGACACGAACTCAGGTCTGGGTCATTCAAGATGAATGACTCAGGAAGCTCACCCTGGGGGACTGAGGTGAAGAACTTGCACCTCAGAGGTAGAAGAGCTAAACAAGAGAGATGAAAGATCTGTTTGAAGGTACTGAGGACAGTGTTATTAATTCTACCCGTATGAAGGGTTCTGGTAGTGACATCTGAGTGTGGCTTTGAAAAAATGAGCTAGTATTTTCTCCAGGCAGGGGATGAAAAACATGGCTGAGGGACAACAAAAGAGCAACGGGCATGTGATTTGGGCAGGGACCTGACTGACAGTGCAGAAATAATGAAGGTTCCTGAAAGGTTTCTATGACTTTGGAC